ACAGCTACTTCCCACACAGGTTGTATCTCACTTTTACTTTTAATTAAGCTTAACCATCAGCCTGTCTGTTAATGTTCCAATTTTCTTGGAACAATTTTAGAAATAGCACATACACGTCATCGCCTCTGCATGCATTGCATGCCGTTTATTTTGCTAGCGAGGAGAGTTTGTGCGCGTTCCATTTTCAGTTTCTTTCACTTCCAGTGACTTCCAGGTAGATCACAAGTTCTACTTTCACTTTCGTAACAAGTTATTGAACACATCTTGAATACAAAAAGCAGATATGCAAAAAGCATAGATACGCCTTCTTTAAGTGGAGAGAGACACTTGCATGTTAAATGTCACAACCATATGCATGTTACGTTTGTTAGTACATTGTTTTCCTTTTGAATGAAAACCATTAATTGAAATAACCTGCCTGCCTTCATTGATATGGAACTGACCATGTCAGTGAAAATGATGAAAAGAACAGAAATCCTCTCATCCCCTCCCTCTCCTTTTTGGAGCTCGAGAAAATCCAGCTTTACACCTCACCCCGGAAATGTTCTGCTTGTATTTATATTGCAGTATCATATGTAGTGCTAATCCAAGCACATTTAAGAAAATGCTTATTTTTTCCATCCATTGTGATTGAGATCTTTGAAAATACTTTCGCTAATCGTGTTGCGTGACTTGTTGTGAGGGATAAAAATGACATTTAGTGGGCCCAAGGTGGGTGAGAAAAAGAAATTCTAGGGTGGAGCGAGAACGGGTTTGTTAATACTGGTTGACAGGGTAATGAGATTGACAGGGTGATAAAAAGGGACATATCATGATATCACTATATCTATATCATGACAGAAGCAAGTGTACCAGCCAGACATTATGATTTTTTTTTAACATAAACTCTATTGGTTTCCTGCACTACTAGTACTTACATCGTCCAACTCATATATCGCTTAACCTAACTTTTTGTCATTAATATTACTTACATTTGATCTTCATGATTTATTTTACATCGCAGTGCCTACAATAATAATAACAACAACAACAACAACAACAACAACAATAACAATAACAATAACAATAACAATAACAATAACAATAACAATAAC